TGGTTAATAGGAAGCGAAAGCAATGTTAACGTCGTGCTGATGAGATAAGATCTTCAAGTAGAAAATCGTTTTTCGACTGCGACTATGATCATTTTATCGTTTATAGCGAGTAGTATAATTCCATAACTTCAAGTGAATCTATGGGGCTTTTGAGACTGAGCTATGAATGTTATTTCACTTGCTTCTCGAACTGTTCCAAGACATTTCAGAAAAGCGAGTGAATTGTTCTTTATCTAAATTGAGATATTAAGTTCTTTAAGAATTCATATTTCAAAAAAAAATTGGAAACACTTGATCTGCTTGAAAAGCTAATATTTCAAAGAAGCACTCATTCGAACTAAAATTTATGGTAAAATCTGGTAATGATGAGATCTGCTAGTATGCAAAACCTCAGATCTAAAACACAACAATAAATTTTATCGAGAAACTCGCAGAATGGGTCAAGAAGTGATTAAAACAGTGTTCATTATATAGCTTTAGAAGCTCAGACATTCAGTCGAAGTTTTAGTATCGTACAGCTATCTATGATCAATTCAATGACCACTGTCTCAGTTGGAAAGCTAGTTCGCACTTGAAAATGTTTTCTTATGATCAGTAGCTAATTAACATGTTAGTTGTAATGTTGGTGAAAAAAGCTTTGACAAACTTACAGCTTCTTCTTTGTATCCATATTTTTTTCATATAATATTTCTGTTGACATTTCTTGATATTTTGACATTTCTTGATATTTTGACGATTCTCGTTCGCTAGGAACTTCAAAATCAAAGTTGTAAGATTGACTTCTAAAATATATGTTTTAAAACATGTAGTAAATGTTGCATTAACTCGAAAAAGTTTGTATTTCGATTTTTGAAACTATTAGTATACACAGGGGCGACAAGATGATTTTACTAGCATGGGACCATTTCTTAGTGGAGCTCTTTTAAGGGTTGAGTAACCATAAATAATTGGAAGACTTACTGAGCTATATTTTCTTTGCTGACTCTTGCAATATAATGTGCTCATATATATATATATATATATATATGGATATCGTATAGACCAAATTCAAAGTTAGTATCAGTATTTCGTCAATGTCTTGTCCATTTTTTTGCTAATTAAGGTTGGGACAATTTTTTAAAGAATTTCTTCTTTGAGTCTCTTCAAGAATAAATTAAAACAGTTGATATCAGATAGCAAATGGGAAAATAAGTATAAAACTATTTAAAAATTACAATATGTTGAAATTTTTCAATGATTTTTTTTCAAAAAATTCAAGTTGTTTTGTATAGTTCTACAAATTGAAGAAATCCTGACGTGAGTTATTTAGAATACAATACTGTATTGTTACATTTCTACATTGTTACTCAGAAATCAAATTGATAGTCTACTTTACAGACGCTTTTTGAGAAGAATGGCTTTGTAGTAGTTAATCTCTGTGGTTCATTTCGTACAGAATTGCGGAAAGCTTTTTCGTCGAGAAAAACAATCACAATGATATAAAAATATCACTATAGGGACCTAGTGCTTCTATTTGAGTAGCGAGAAAATCCAGTCGATACTCATGACCGCAAAGGCTTTCTGAAGAGACTGCACTTTCGAAAGACATACACTTACTAGTTCAATTCGTCGAAAATTTTGTGTGGTTAATATCAGAATAATAGTATAATATATCGATGTTGTTCTGTAAGTGAGAGTAGAGCAATATGTTACCTATATATAGATTGCGAAGTTGGCTTGGTGTTTGTATATTAACACCTACAGAGAAATCAATAGAGCATGAAATATTAACCTTATACTGCGTTTATTTCATACAAATATTACCGTCGTTTTATTTTCTCTGTCCTCGGTCGTTCACATAGATTACTTAACGGCGATGAAGAGTCAGTTGAATGTTCGCCAGGATGTAAGTCACACATCACATAGTCATGTTTTTTTTTGTTTTTTCACTTATTATACAGAACGGACAAAATATGATTATTTGTTAACCATTGTGTCCAATTCAAAAACATAATTTTGATCAAATCTAATCACAAATAACATTTTCACGTATAATCAAAGCTATGTGTTCGACATCTACAACCATAAACATACTCTTGTGTTTGTGGAGAATCCAATAGATAAACATGTTAAGTGATCATATATATGCAACATTACTATTCAATGTTTATATTAATATGAAACTGAAAAAATTGAATTTCTCGACAAGAAGGAAAAAGATAAGTAAGACATTTCAAATTAATATACATGTAATCAATTTTATTGTTTGTGCATATCTAATTTCCGAAACTTCTCAATACAAAAGACCTCATTTGAAATTAATTTTCTTTATCAAAATGTATAGCTTTATTTATCCTATTCAATGCTGTAATTTGTTTTAAAATCAAAACTAAATAGTGAATCAGAATGGAATTGATAAAAACTAGCGATTTAATCTGACTCATTCGTTGAAACTACATGAAAAGAACAAAAATATTGATAACAAACACTTAGATATCTAGAAAAGTTCGATCTCTTTCCTGCTAGGTTTCGTGAAAGTTCTTTTTAATAAATGTATATAAAACTAAATTCAAAAAGCTTTACATCAAAAATGCATTAGAATGACAGACTCTTCTATTATAAATTTTATATAGTATTCCCCGGGAGGATTTTCTATTATAGAGAGAGAGAAAGGGAAGAGATTATCGTAAAATAGCTGATATAGAGGCGAAATATAAACTGCTGAATTCTTGGGAAAATTGTGCGACAGTTTGTTTTTTTTAAGTACTCTATGTCGGCAAAAAATGTATATGCTCGGTCAACGATTTGAAGTTTATAGGATCCTCAACATGAGCTATTGAATAAGCATAGTAAAACTAAAATTTGAAATTAGACCATGTTACATGAATCCTTGATCCCTTTATGGACTATTTCTTCAGCCTAGCAATGCCCTATTTCATATTCATTCTTGTATGATGGTTAATCTGATCATAAAGCCTTCACATGGCTGAAAATTGATTCCTCTTAACAGTTAGAACATGAAATTTGGATGTTGTAGCGAATCTTCTTGTAAAAATTTGGTGTTGAATTTGGAATAATCATATTAACTGCTTCGAAATTTTCGATCTTGTGCTGACTCAATAAAAGTGACATCATTCGAAAGAGCATAAAAAGCTAAGCAAAATCTACTACTTTTTTCGGACACTTACTTCCAAGTCTCCAGTAAACATTTTTAAAATAGATTTTGAAGCAGAAATGGCAAAGATCTTTCGTTCTCTCTCTCGCTCTCTCTCTGAATAACATGTTTTTTTGTTATTTTGTTTTCATCATTGTGTTTGTCATGTATACGAAAATATCAGCTTGTACAATAATTTTCAATATAAATTTACGAAATTTAAATTTAAAATACATTTAAATTAGCTATAAATTTGACTTCGATTGACTTCAATTGGATGTAAATGGATTTATGCCAGATTTAAATGGATGTACATGAATTCAAACGGATTTGAATCGGATTGAAATCCAATGAAAATAGATTTGAATTCATGTACATCGATTTAAATCCAATTTCAATGAATTTCAATCGATTCCAATGGATTTAAATCCAATTCTAATGCATTTAAATTGGGTTTAAATGCATTTTCATTTGATTTAAATTCATTTAAATCTGGCATAAATCCATTTAAATCCAATTGAAGTCAATCGAAGTCAAATTTATATCTAATTTAAATGTGTTTTAAATTTAAATTGACAAGAATTTAAGTTTAAAATTAATTCACAGAAAAATGCCACCCGTACCTAGTGTCGGTTACTCAAGCTGGTCTCGATGAATTCAGCTGAAAAACTTAGTGGTATATTATTATAGATCTGAAAGTTTTCAATAAAATCTTTAAAACCCTAGGTCAGTATGAAGACGTGATAGAAACATCGGAAAAGTGGACTACAGGACAGCTTACCGATTGATAGAATTCTGGTTTTATGCAACGAGCGTCAGACCTAAGAAATTTGGTATATATGATGGAAGTTGGAGCTCAAAAAATCAAGAATGAAACATTCAAATATGAAACGACAAACGACCATTTTCTTAGATGATAGTTTAATAATGGCGTCAGAAACTTTCAAGACTAAGGCAATATATTACTAAAATACACTGCAATTTCAAAAAACATACACTTACTTGTTAAATTCGTCTGGAATATTTTCTCTCCAATATCGGAATAACGGTTTAATTTTCTCGACGTTGTTTTTTGAGTGAGAATAAAGCAATAGGCTATCTATATATATATCGCGAAATACATCTGATTTTTGAGTGTAAATGTCTATATTTGGATTGACCGAGCATAAAATATAGATCACGCATTGCGTTTGTTTCATACAAATATTACAGTCGTTTTGCTTGTTCTGTCTCACGTCGTTCACATAGATTACTCGACGGCGATGAACGGTCAGATGAATGTTGGCCACAATACGCCCTATATCATGTGATACCTTTTTTTCTCTTTATAATCATGGCGCAGAATCGACAAAATATTAAAGTTTCATTGGCGACCCTTTCTCGCTCAAAGGTATAACCATCATTACGTCCTAATAATCACAAAAATAGCAACAACAACAACAATAACAGAGAGAAGAAAAACAAAGAGAGAAAATCGAAAAGCATGATAAAAATCAATAATAACGAAAGTAATATAGTGTGCATCTTAGAATAACATCTTTTAACACTAGTATATCTCACTATATGTTCAGGTATTTTATTCCTTCGTTAGATTTTATGAATTGATGGTTTTGAAGGATTTCTCGTAATAAGAACATTTTTAAAAAACTGAAAAATCAATTTTCACTATACAATTGAGTTTATTTTATTTATTTTATGCACCGTTTAAAACAAATAGAAGTAGTTACAATCCGGTGGAAAAAAAACTTCTAGAACTACTATCAATGGAATTAACAAATAGTTTATTTTAAAAGAACTGAGAAAAAAATTACACAAAGATTAATTTTTAATATTGTTAATCGATTTTATCTGGGTGATCGGATAAGTTTCAATTGCTTCCTAAAATAAACAATAATAAAAATAAGTGATGAGAATTATACAATAATTTAAATGGTTATAAATTGCTAGCATTATTTAAAAACAGCTTTTGGAAAGAAAATACTATATATAGATTAACATAATGTATTACCTTCATAATTATATATTTTTAATTCATGAATCTGAATAATTTTGTACAGCCAGATTTTAATGCTTGAACTATATCTTCACCAAATAAACCATAATGGAGATTGATTTGATTTTATGAATGAGCTGCTAATAGAAAAAAATAATAAAAATAAATTCATATGTGATTTTGAGATTATGCAAGCTTATTTGAACGAATTGTTCAAACTCAGCAATATTTCAACGAGTTATTATAATCAATCAAAACGAAATATACTCTGGAACTTACCAATTGGTTACTGATAAAACTAGACAAGGGTCGATGATTCCTTTGATTGACTTCATCTCTTAAATAATACATTGATGATGTACATACGTAATATCCATTTCAATTTTAACTGGACTATCATTATTATTTGTTGTATTAATTAAAATAATACATTGATTCGACTTGTTGACATAATTGCATTCAAGAATCCTCGGATTGTTCTTTTTCTAAAACCAAACATTCCTAAAAAGACAAAAAGATCAGAGAATATATGTAAAACAATAGTTTGATTTATACTCGACGAAATACTTGGTTAATCTTCTCGTATTTCAATTTTTGTTCTGACATTTGATGATCATATGATTGTTGTTTGTTTATGAATGTCTCAGACGAATAACAGTATACTTGTCGACCACGAGAAAATTTCTGTCTTAATACTGATGCTAAAAATATCTAAACGAGACAAAAAAATAAAGTAAAGATGAAAATGTATTCGATCTTGTATTAAGCATACCATATGTTCATTGAATATTTTACTAAATGTTGCATATGTTTTTTTGATGGCAACTATGATTCGATCAAATTCAAACGACGTTGGATAAAAATTAATCCCATAAGTATTGACTGCATTATGATGGATTATCTTATAAGTATTATTATTTATTTTATCATCGTACTCCAAAGTTTGCTGCTGATGGATCTCTAACAGCTTCTTGAAAAACTTTATCAAACCTTGAAAGCACGTAATGTAATGAAAATCTTTTCTTGATTGAAATGTTGTTGAACTTGTTGAAGAATTATCTAATAGTTGATGAATCATTGGTAAAATAGTGCATCAGTAAGTTGTAAGTCATTTGAACTCAATAATGATCCGTCAGCGATTGAGTTGATGTATATGGGTTTGGTAGCGATATTTTAAGTTCGTGTTGCTGTTCCCTGTAGTGGTGTACACTATTAATATTGAAAAATGATAAATTATTTGATTCATGGAAATGCAATTATTGTTTGAATGTATCAGATATTTTTTTTGGTTAATACCACAGCTCTACTAAAACAGAAAAGAAAACAAAGTTCATCAACTAAAGCAAATGAACAAATATTTACTTATTACTTGAAAAACTTTATTTTTCTTAAAAATTGATAATGGACTTAAAGGCTATAGTAATACATCACGAATTTCTTCTGAAATGAATGAAAAATAGACCGAATAGTAAAATAGTAAGTGATTTGCCGATAGATTAAAGTTTGTCAACGTATTTATCCAAATCATTATCAGCCAACCATCTGGAGACATTTTCAATACTCCACTCTGTATATTATTAATCTAAAATAAAGTAGACAAATAGAAAAAATGAAAACAATATTTTTACTTGTTCTTATTAGTATGATTAGCTAACTAGTAAATGAAAAATCTCTTCATAAATATGAACAAGCTATATCCATATACTTATTTATGTAATTTTTTTAGACTGATGCATAATCATTTCCTATCTATTTTGAAGTACGAATATATCAAAACTTAATTTTAATAAAATATTCATGTGAGCTTTAAATTAATTATTTATTTATATCATACTGTAAATTCATCTTTAGATATATTTGAAGTTTACGCAATACTGATAATCAAAAGGACACTTATAGTAAGGAGATAACAGCCAAACTATAAACAGCGACACAGCAGCATTTACTCATATACCATTTGTACTTTATTAATACTTCCCGAGGATTATTGACGATGCCATCCAGTTTTCTATTTATAACATAAATCAATATTGAAAAAAGTTCGACAAGAATACTTTATTCATTATATTACACATACGAACATATATATCTAGAAATCACTGAGCATCATGTTATCAAAAAAAGCAACCTAGAATACTCTTTTATGTGAGGGTAAGATTTTACACTCTAAATATCTTCTTCAATGTTTTTTTTTTGAATTTCGTCTAGCTTAGTATTAGCAAGAACTGTACCATTGATGATTAGCTTATATCAACGTCTTTAACACAATATAGACAACCTATATTCTCCCAAGGACAAGAATATAATTCTTTTTCAATTTTTTCTTTTCCTTTCTCTCTCTATCTCGTATTATTGTATATGACCTTGTATGTCATTGTATGAGTAAAAATAAACTATATTTGTCTAAACATATTATATTTCGTTGTCGTATTTTTTTTATTTTGTGTTTATTTAAAAATGACCTCATTTTGTTATATTTAGAGAGTAGAATATGACAATGCAAAGAACAAAAATATTTTCGTGACATTTCTCAGTTTTAGAGAATAGATATGGTTAAATGCATTTTTTTTTGAAAGTTCATTATTTTCTGTAGTTAATAAGAACCTTCACAAATGATCACGCACTCTAATACCGACAGTCGATTATAATAAAAATAGCTCGATATTCTTTTGCCCTTTGATATCATCAATACTCATGCATATCAAAAAAAAAATTTTGCATCGTCACATATTTTCTTTTCTTTCTCATTCCTTATCTCACAAGGTATTCCTATTGTGCGTTTGATTGACATAAGTTGCATTTTTCTTGACAGTTACAATGATCATCTATCTCATTATCTTATCATTTCAAACTATAATCAACAAAGACAAATAATGTATGATTCAAGCATTAGTCATCTATTACTAAAAATAAGACGCTTGTTTTGTATCAAAGGTTGTCATATGAACGCCTACGGACATTTTTTTTTTGAATTAACTAAATTTTCTTCAATATTTCGGATTGTTTTTCGATATCATATGCCATAAAAAAAGACTATTTTTGATGGAATTAATTAGAAGAATTCTAGTCTTAAATATCCTTTGAAAACTGTTTATGCAAAAATGTCTCCTTACTAGAATCTCGCATTGAATTTAGCTGTTAAAGTGTTCTTGAAATATTGGAAAATCGACTTCAACTTTATGACTATTCAATTCGCAACCTACTAATAAGTTTGAGAAATTCTATCTTACATACCATTATACCTAGAATAATGTATCTTCATAGTGCATGATTATTCAGTTTATATCCATCTAAAAATGGTTTAACTGCCAACGATAAGGCAAATAATCATTTGTTCAAGGAAAAATCATTCAACACCTTTAACATTTCTCGAACCTTGCCTAGATATTTTGTATTAAATATTTTATACATTAATTGTTTCCTACAATAAACAAGGATAAGATTGAGCGATGTGAATTATAGAATAACTTGAAAATAGTCAATACATTACTCACATGATTTAATCACAGTTTTACAAGATTTTAATGCTTGAATACTACTTCCAGTAAATGGATCAGAACAAAGATCGATTTTACGAATCAATTGTTCATGAAAAAAATAAAATAAATGTATATGTGATATTGAGATTATGTCAGCTTCTTTGAACGAATTGCTCAAACTCAGCAACATTTCAATGAATTATTAGTCGATCAAAAAAATACACGCTCTAAGAATGATTGAATCGATCACTGATAAAGATGGATATAATCAAACAATCTCTTTGTTTGATTTCGCCTCTTGAACAAGACGTTGACGATGTACATAGGTAACAGTGTTAATGATTGAAAACAATATCATTTACTGAATCTGGTGATAATTTTGAGCGCTTTTGTGTAATAGTATTATCAGTAAAGCTGAACTCGCATTCAACTGCTGCACTGGCAGCTGGTACAGCTAAAACACGAGCAGTAGCTGTCACCAAAATAGGATAAGAAGCATGTTTCTTCTTCGACAATGATAATAGACAATATCCTTCATCTTCTTGACCAGAATTCGTCATTGATGTGCTTTATCTGCACCATACTTTAAATACAAGCCAATTTGGATTATCGGTGATGAAGATTTTGACGAACGGTATTGATCAGCATGATCTTCGTCATCAAATTCTACATTTAAATAAAAATCTGTCATATTTAGAAATAAAGCATTGGTTGATAATGAAACTGATATCTCGTTTGAAGATGATTTAACATGCTGATTAATATAAAAAAGCAACAGTTCTTTTACGTATTCAATACATTCTTCTCTTTATTTTGTTGACAACTGCTTCATTTTTTTGTGTCTTAGGATTGAAGAAAGTTTTCATGAGATGTATGGAATCGAAAGAAATCAATTCTTTGATCACTTGTTGTTCTCGTTTACGGAAAAAATCGATACCTGTAAAAAAAAAGTTATTTAGCAAAAGTAGATAAAGAAAATTGTAATCATTGACCTTTTTCTTGTTTATAATCACTTGGCTTATATCTAATGACGAATTTATTACAAATATACTTGGTGTTACAGTATGTGTTGATGATACTTGCAATGATTGAATACGTTTCATTACATGAGTCCATGGTTTTAAAAAATCAATTATTTTATCTAGCATAGATGATCTAATTATATTAATTCTTTCCTTGTTCAAACTTTTTTCATTAAATATTTCAAGTAATGGATTTAAAGACCTAAAAAAAATTAGTTGTTTTATAGAACCGTTTTCTATAAAAAGAAAAAAGAAAAAAAGCAGACATCATACAAAACCTACTCAATGGATATCATTTTATCAAACCTTTTAGAGGGTCTAGACTTTCATATTATAACCTTTTTGCCCAAAATTTTCAGAGAAAAAAAGTTCTAGTCGAGAAGTCTAGGACTCTTAAAAGGTTCTTAAAATAGGACCTATTGAAAAGGTTCTCTATTTGGTAAGAATTTTTTAAAAGCGTTCAGATTTTCTATCTTCTCTAAGTTAGTAACAAAAGAATCTTGATATTGGACTTACATTTTTTTTTGGTATACTTCGCCAGCTCTTTGTACTGGATAATAGTTACTAAAACACGTTTTGAAACTAATAGTAATTGAGCAAGAATAGTGAGAACATTGATTCGGCTTGGTGTTGTAGAGATATAACTAACAGATATGGTTCTTTTATCAAGTAATTTATCATCATCACAAGAACTATCATCTTCTTCGCTATCACTTCCATTAATTTGATCATCGTCATCGTCAATTGAATCAATATAATAATCACCAAATACTGTATTTTTTCTTGCCTAATCTATTTCGGTTTGATAGAATGTTTCTCCTCAATACACCATCGTGAGTTTCTCCAATGTTTTCTTCAGGTTACTTTCTCTATTATATACCAAAACTATCTCAAATACAAATAGTTGCAAATCATAGGAGAACAATATCTCTTCAATCACCTACATAAGTATATGAAAATCAAATTTAATTTGTAGTAAAAGACAAATTTACTTGAATTATATTTGCCATAGTTTTATTAGGTTTTCTCTATAGTAAACAAGCATTGTTTTTCTCGATGTGATTTGTTATTCGTCCGTGTAAATTTCTAATCAGAAAAATGTTAAAACTATCTTTGTAGCGAGCGACATCTGATTGTAACATGAATGTTTCCTTTGATGTTGTTTTCTTTAACATAAGGAGAAAAAACCTACCAAATGAAAATAATATCCATTTTAACTTTTACTTGACCCCAATCATAATTTGTCGTATTAATTAAAACATGCATCTAATCGGCTTGTTGACATAATTGCATCAACGATTCTTCTGATTGTTCTTTTTATTCAACGAAACATTCTTAAAAGAACAAAAAAAAATTCAGAGAATATAACATAATAGTTTGGCTTTTACTCGACTAAATGTATAGTCAATCTTTAAAATTTCAATGTCAGTGTTGACATTCGATGATCGTATGATTTTCATTTTTTTACCAATATTTCAGATAAATAAGCGAATACTTGTTGTTCTAATGATCATAGTAAAAAAACTCTAAATGAGAAAAAATTCGGTCTTCCATCCAACATATCATATCTTCACTAATAGTATACCAACTGCTAGATATTTATTTTTGAGTTTAACCATCATTTGATCGAATTCAAATGCTGTTGAATAAAAATCGATACCACAAATATAGACCACATCCTGACGAATTGTTTTAAGTAATTGTTCTTTCTTTCTGCATCATGCTCAAAAGTCTGTTGGTAATGGATCTTCAGCAACCTCTTCAAAAACTTTATCAAACCTTGATAGCACATAATTCAATGGAACTTTTTTTGATTGAAATTTTGTTCAGCTTGCTGAAGAATTATCCAATGGTTGATACATCATTTTCTCAAGTGGTACATCAGTAAGTTGTAAACAATTTGAATTCAATATAGATGATTGAGTTGACGTATATGAAGTTGGTAGACATACTTTGAGTTCGTGATGCTATTCAACATCGTATTTTACATTACCGATATTGAAATCATTGAAAAATGATAAAATATTTGATTCATTGAAGTGTAATTGTTGTATAACTATACTACTAAAACAAAAAAGAAAGCAACGCTGATCAGTTAAAGCAAATGGATAAACACTTGCTTATTACTTGAAAAAACACTGTCTCTCAATTTCTCCAGTTTTTTTTCGAATGTTGTTTTTACACCAATAGTTGGTTTTTTACTAATATTATCATCTGTATAATCAACAATAATTCTTGAATTGATAATCAACTTAAATGTAATAAAAATAAACCATCAATTTCTTCTCCTAAACTAGATAAAAAAATAGACTGGATAATTAAATGGTAAAAGACTCATCTGTACCTTAAATTTTTTTTACGTGTTTATTGCAGTCATTTTCAGCGAACCATGTGAAGAAATTTTCATTAGCCCTTTCCATATATTATTAATCCAAAATAGAGTACAAAAAAAGACAAAAAAGTGAGATAAATATTTTCAGTTTTTCTTAAGTCTTCAATAAACAAATATATACGAAAGATTTGAAAACACGTCGAATAGGCATATCAGCATCAAGACATTCAAAAAATTGACCAACGAAAGTTAAACGATAAAATAGTTGTTTTGAGTACGAGAGTGATGAATTTAGAGAAAGCGGTGAGATAAGGTCCAGAAAATGAGTTTTCTCAGCAATAATGTAGAATCTCAAAAAATCCTAGGTATATTTTTGAAGTACAACCACTGGCGATTCCAATAGGATATGAAAGTCAATTGTAGCTCTTTATAGATAAAACTACCTATGTAATGATCATGTTTTATCTGAATAGCCTCATAGTTTTTATAGATTCAATTTTTCATGCTGAACCTGGAACAAATAGTTTTAAAATTTGAAGGAAACAAAAATATCGATACTTTTTTCAGAAAAAGTAGGCGATCGTAAAAACTGAAAATTTGCCTCTAAAAACTCGTTCCAAAACATGAGAACACCGATATTCTTGGTCAACTCCTCACGCTGTATCTAGCCACATATAAGAATAAATTCTGCTTTAATTTTGAATTTCCGACACTTTATTTGGAGCGTCACCTATTGAAAGAAAAACAAGTTTATTGTTCGCTAAAAATGAATTACAATGAGCTTTCGTAACGGAATTATCTTAGAATCTGTTGAAAGTCTCGTTAGTTTTTCTAAGAGGTTTCAAATTGTATTAAAAGTGAAGGTAATATGTCCATCAGAGCTTTATGGATAGATTTTTCAGAACGGCAATTTGAAGTTCTATAAATAACAAATACAGAATAATAAGGAGTCACGAACCGAGAATAGTTTTGGCGACTAACTCAGAGCTGAATATGTGGCTACAGACAGAGAAGATCTTACAGGAAAATGTTAAGGAAATATAAGTTTCCTTAGAACCAGCATTTCTTGTTGTTCGATAAATGCATTTAATAATAAAAAGTAAAGAAATTATTATCGAATGATACATTTCATTTTTAATTTTGAAACGTTTCATTAACAACTGTTAACATCATTAGTCAAAATAAGAAAATCAGAAAAGAAGTTATAATAGATTGTAAACAGTAGATCAAGAAATAAGCACATTTAAAATAGAGAAAAAAAAATAAATTGCATTATCAAAGACATTTAACGAACAACAAGAAATACTGATTCTATAATTAATACTATACAGAAAAAGTACGATCGACAAATGTTGAAGTTGTGTCGCAAGTTGGAAAAAAGTAAACTCAAATTAATACATAGTGAGAAATCTGCAGCATTTTGAAGGAAATATTCCCCATATCAAGTCGTCCCAAAATTCATTATATTCAAACCATTTGATAAAAAAATTGCCAAAACAAACGCATATTAAGAAATAGATAGACAAGTGGCATTAGATCTATATGAAAGAAAACATTTAAATTTAAGTAAGATCAAGTTATCTATAAATCAAGAGGAAATAATTGTAAGGAACCAGGTGAATTTATACATTTGGCTTAGAATTAATCATAATTTAAATGAATTAATTAAGAAAGAATATAAAGTAATAACCATATGACAAAATCATAAATTGATAAGAATGAATAGACCTATTGATAATAATGTACTTAATAAAAAATTAGTCTATAATTTTTCGCATCGTAATTTATCAAAAGCAGAACAGGATTGATTAACTAGTCAAAGGAAATAAGCAGTAAAAGTTTAAAAAGTTAGTACATTAAATATTAAAGGTGAACTAGACTACATTTATTTTATTTTGAATAATAATAAACTTTTAACATCTAATGAGAAAATTTTAAAGATCAAAAACATGTTTTATTATTTTCCTAGTCAATTAAATAAACAGTTAAGATATGATATGACTAATTTATCATAAGAAGAAAGAAATGCAATTTCTAACTTGTTAATTGATAAAATCATAATAATATCTAAAGTCAATAAAGGTAATGCAATTGCCATTTTAAATAGAGAACACTATTAATGAAAGAAATCAATTGCTTAATGACCAAAAAGTATTCAAAACATTTTTCACCAATTTAAATTGAAAATCGTGAATTATACAGAATTCAAAACACTGAAAGCTTACTTGCTCACTAAAATACACCAGCTGAATCAACCTGTAAGACCAAGTATCTGTAGTTTCAATTCATATAATTATAATACAGCTAAATATTTAGCCAAATTATTAGCATTTGCTATAACTTCCAATAAATCTTATATCAAAGATTCATTTGAACTTCTGGAGAAAATTAAATAATATAAAACAAAACCTGAATTAATGTGTTCATTTGATGTATATTCATTTTTTTCTAACATAACGTTAAATAAAGCTCTAAAAATCTGCATAGAAAACATTAAAAACTATAATCCATAATTAAAAATGAATAATAAAGACCTTGAAGAACTATTTTATTATTGTACAAAACATTCTAACTTCACATTTAACAAAAATACATTATGATCAGGTAAATAGAGTGGTGATGGTCAGTCTATGAGTCATTTACAAGAGAATATAGATAAATATAATGAAAAGAAACCTGACATTTATTACATATATGTTGATGATATTTTTATGTTAATGAATGGCACTCAGAAAGGTGTGTACTCAAATTTAATAGATTTCTGAAAATTTTAAAAAAACCATTAAGTTTCTAGTGGAGGTACAACAGAATAATAAATTATCTTTCCTTAATTTTTTGATAGAAAGACAAGAAAAAATAAGTATAACATATGTTTATCATAAACTCACTGGCACACGGGGCTATATTTGAAATGGACTAGTAATCAACTAAAACAATAAAAAACTAATTTGATTGAACGTCTGGGTACTACAACTGTAAGATTGTGTTCATCTAAATTCTTATTTTAAAAAAGAATTAGATTATTATAAAAGAATATTTCTAGCAAATGATTGTCTTCAGAATGTAATTTGAAAAGCATTGAGAAGATTTGAATTATATAACCATGACACTAAACAAAAACAAGCAACTAATGGAGATAACATTTATACTTTAATACCTTGCTATAATGACTATTCTAGTTTATTAGCAAAGAAGATCAAAATGCTATTAGATTTGCCTATGAAAACGAGAAAATTTGGTTGCAACTCTCAAACTAGAATCAATTCAATGTTAAAATTCTACACATCAAGAGAAAAATGAAAACAAACAAGTTATCTCTCAACATGATTGTATTAGTTGTAAAAGTTCATATACGGGTGGAACATCAGGAGGAGCTAAGCAAAGGAAACTTGAACATCAAAATGGATTTAGAAAAATAGGATATTCTAAGATAGAAGAACACTGTACGGAAAATAAACATCAAAACAACTGAAATTACAAGATATTAAAAATGGAAACTAATGGTCTTAAACGAAAGATTAAGGACAATTTTTTAATGGATATTACAGAACAAAAAGCAGACAGAAAAATATACTCACAAAAAAGTTATGAATTAAATGTTTTTCGCCAACGTGATAGGTCATTTTTGAGGCTAATGAAATTTTGCAAATCTATATAAGAAAGTAAAACGTTTTATTT